CTCTCCCCCCCCACCCCGCCCCCTCTTCTCTCTGTGGATCTGTCACAAAAAGCAAACCCTCATGAACAGGACCCTCAGGCCCTGGCCGTGATGGCCGCCTGCTTCTCCGGGTCCCTGAGCTCACTCCACACAAGCAGCCAAACACCCGAAGGGAAGCAAACAGCGCGGGTTCAGCACCTTAGCTCCCGGGTGGGGGGCCCCCTGGGAGCCGGGAGGAATGCGGAACCCGGGTCCACCTGGGCCCCGAGTCCACGTCTCACTTTACCAAGTGCCCGGCCACTCGGCACGTGGGCGATGGGCATCGCTGGGTGGTCACTGCTCAGCCTCCTCTGGGGCCCACTCCTGCCAGTTCCATGCTGGTCCCCCGTCCCCCATCCCGCCCCTCCCTGTCCCCCCAGCTGCCTCTGTTCACGGCCTGGAACCTGCCCGGCCCCTCTGCTGGGCCCTGGGAGACGGGAGTGTTGGCTCTGCTGGGAGCTCGCTGGGCGCAGACAGCAGAGGAGCCAGCGTACCTGGCGGCGGGGGCTCTCCGCCTGAGGTGGGGGTTGTCTCTGCAAACAAAGAAGAACCAACTCAAACGCCCACAGTTGGCAGAACCCCGGGGAGCGGTGGGCAGAAGCTGTCCGAGCCGGTTCTCCAGGCGCCAGAATCTAGTGCGCGTTGGGGTGGCGGCAGGTCACGCACCGCCCGGGAGGTGGGTGTGGGCCCGGCCCCACGCCGCCCTGGCACAGCTGCTGCAGGCTGTGCGACCGGGCGAGCGAAGGCTGTCCCTGGTCGGGCACCAGCCTGTCTGGATGAGCAGAGAGAGCAAGCGGCTTCATGTCCCTGGGAGGGAGGGAGGCTGGGCCTTCGCTTACGGTGGGTTATACTGTGGGCACCTCTTCGGTACAGTGTGGGCCACGCTGATGGACACTCAGCTATGGCTGCCCATCAGCTCTGCGACGGGGAGGCCCCGGCACAGGAACCGTGACCCCTGCCAGGACCCCCGGCGGGGAGCAAGCCGCCCCGAGTTCCTGCCCTGATGCCAGATAATCCAGTTCCTCCCCAACGTCCCCCAAAGCCGCCTCCCAGCGCTGGGCTCAGAGGAAGCGGAACCTTTCGTAGTTCAGCTCCAGGCCCAGATGAGCCACAAAACCAGCCACGGCTGCTGACGTCAGGACCAGCTGCTTGGAATAATGACCCCTGTCCCGGTGCCGCCAACCAATCAGGGGGACCCCGACCCCGAGAGGCCACACCCGGAAAGCTGCGGAACGTTCTATCGTTCTATCGAGATCTTCCCCTGGGGCCTCCCTGACTTCTCCCCCTTAAAGCCATCAGGACGAGGACCCAGTGCCCTCCCTCCCGCAGCACCTCCACGCCTCTCCCTCCCCCGCCCCCCAGGCACCTTACCCACAGCTTCCTCGCCCCCCAGCTCCCAGGGCCCCTCCTTTGCCTCCGTCACTTGTTTGCTGAGCCCGTTTCCCCTCGGAATCACTTCGACCTCCGTGATCCCCCTCATACATGTTCTCTCTAAAAATACTCGGAACAAATGTCCGTTTGTCAAACAGAAAGAGGGAGAGTGGATCATGTGCAACTGCAGAGAAGGGACAGCAGGAAACCTTACCGGAGGGGGCGTCCGCGTCGGCGGGGGTGGACGGGGCGTCTGTGTGGACAAAGGGAAGAGACACTCACACATGGGGGAAAGGACACTCCTTGTGCCTTTTCACCGATGTTGACTTTGTGGTCAAAACAGTCACTAAGGCCCGGCCGGTCTGGCTCAGTGGTTGAGCGTCCACCTGTGAACCAGGAGGTCCCGGTTCGATTCCTGGTCAGGGCACAGGCCCGGGTTGTGGGCTCCACCCCCAGGAGGGGGCATGCAGGAGGCAGCCGATCCAGGTTTCTCTCTCATCATGGATGTCTCTCTCTCTCCCTCTCCCTTCCTCTCTGACATCAATCAGAGTCTATATTTTTAAAAATGGTCCCTCACAGACCATTTCTAACTAGAACATGACGAGTAGGAAGCTGGTCTCCTGGATTTGAACGTCGTGGTCATGGCGAGCGAGCCTTTACCGAGTGGGGGTGGGGAGGTCCCGTCTGCGGGGCTGGCGGAGGCATCTGCAGAAAGAGGAGGGGGAGCTCACACTCCAGCGCAGGGGACCCCGAGTTCTGTCTGTACTGAGTCTGCTGGGGACGCGCCCATGAACAGCCCAGTCTGACAGCTGGAGCGCCAAGGAGGGCCCCTAAGGCAGACAGGGTTTACCTGGTGTGGAGGTCGGGGCCGGGGACATGGGAGCTGCAAGTGAACAGAAACACGATGGCAATGAGACAGCCGTCCGGGCCCAGTGACTCTGCCAGATGCGGGAGGCGTAAGGGCGGCTGTCCTGCTTCCCCGACAGGGTCCACACAGCCCCCTCCACCCCCTCCACTGCCTCCTGGCCACCCCTCCACCCTCGGGGCTCCATTCCTCTTGCCCAGCCTTGACCGCTGCCTTGAAGGTCAAGGGCAACACCATTGCTCCAAGTCTCTCCACCGTGTGTGGGTAACTAACCAGGACTGTAGACCTCGGAGCCAGGAGGTCACAGTTCGATTCCTACCCAGTAGGGGGGGTGCAGGAGGCAGCCGATCCAGGATTCTCTCTCATCATTGATGCGTCTCTCTCTCTCTCTCTCTCTCTCTCTCTCTCTCCCTCTCTCTCTCCCCTTTCCTCTCTGAAATCAATAACAATGTTTTGTTTTGTTTTTTTAAAGCAAGAAAGAAAATAAAATTACCAGGCGGGGTGGTTATTCCTGAGGCTGAGGCTGAAAGGGGCAAACAGAACAGAAACGAAAATAAGATAAAATCCAAACAAAAACCCCACCCACCAACAGGACATGTAGCCGATACTTCTTTATTTAAAACATGTATTCCTCAGAGACACTACAGTCAGATAAAGGTGACTTCCGAATGCGAATTAAACATAAGAAAGGGCTCGTGGATGAGACTGAAACGGAGATCAGGGTGCACAGGCCCAGGCTGTGGGCTCGATCCCCAGTGGGGGGCGCTCAGGAGGCAGCCAGTCCGTGATTCTCTCTCATCATTGACGTTTGTATCTCTCTCTCCCCCTTCTTCTCTGAAATCAATAAAAAATGAGATATTTAAAACAAAACAAAACTCAGGGACCATAAAGTGTGATGGAAACATCCTCGCCCTTGTCTTCATCTCACCCATCGGAACCTCATCTCCACTGGCCGGGCCTCAAGGCGGGGATGGGGGTGGGAGGCGGCCCTGAGCTGCGGAGGGACCTGGAGGGGTTCGGAGCTGCAGATGTCAGCTGCACAGGTTGCTTAGCAACAACAGGTGAGAACCAGGCTGTACCGGGTTCATTCAGCTTTTCCCAACGGTTGCGTAACTGCTTCCAGCAGCAAGGAGCCCCCACGCTGGCCCTCGGGGAGGCTGCAGCGGCCTCTGGCAGCGCTCTCTCCGCGGAAAACCTCCACGAGAAGGTGGTGAGACTCGCACCCAGAAAAGCTGCTCCCGGAACCCCAAACCTTCCCGGCAGGGGCGCAGCTCCCGGTCCCCAGGTTTGTTTGTTTTTAAATATATTTTTATTGATTTCAGAGAGGAAGGGAGAGGGAGAGAGAGAGATGAAACATCCATGATGAGAGAGAATCATAGACCGGCTGCTTCCTGCATTGCCCCACACTGGGGATGAAGCCCACAACCCAGGCCTGTGCCCTGACTGGGAATGGAACCCTGACCTCCTGGTTCACAGGTCGACGCTCAACCACTGAGCCACGCGGCCGGGCCCGTGTATGCGTTTGCTGCTGGGATCTGGGCCAGGGGACAGGCTGTGACACTGGGCATGCTCGAACTCCTGCGACCAGGTGCTGGGGTGCTAAGTCTGAGGGCTCCCGGGACACGGACTGGCCGTGCTGACACTGGGAAAATTCTAGGCGAACGGGGCCCAGGTGTTCCCTGACCTGGCCCGAGGCTTTCCCGCCTGGCGGACATGCCCTGCTGCCCTGAGGGAAGCGGTCGGGGTTCGGGGGTCCCCATACCTGCGCAGAC